GGGGCGCGCGAGTGCACACGAAATGAAGCCCGCGAATTTCCTCGCACAGTTTTCCCTTGACGAAATTTTCTCCCTGTAACGCTCGACTCTCCATATAGCGGGAGCGAGCTACGGACTCGGGATACCTCATTTTTCTTTTTTTTTTTTTCTTTTTTTTTCCTTTATTCTTTCTCTTCTCGTGCTTTATTCTCTTTGCGTGCAGCGCTTTCACGACTCAAGTTTAGTTTGAATTATTTTGCATGCGTTTGCGCGAAGGTAGATCACTCTTATTAAGTATACATATACATATACATATACATATACATATACATATATATATATATATATATATATATATATTCGAGGATGAATAAAATTTGCCGAGTTATGCTAGATTGCTAATACTTGCATTTTCGTTTTTGCCAAACTCGCGTAGGATTCGTCAAATTTATTTAAACATATAAAAAAAAAAATGCTTGCCTGGCTTATCATCCCCTTACAATGATATCGACGACCAACGATTACGCTTTAATTAAACGAGATGCATCGCTTCGTCGAATGGTTCTCAATAATTATTCAATGACATTAAATGGAAAATCAATTGTTTTGAAATAATACTTGTAGTGAGCATGACTATTTACAAATTGGATTCTCAAAATAATGTGTGACAAATATCCGCAATGACCAAATTACTCGATTACGTGTGATTTGTTATTAAAGTAGTCGGCACCATTGCCACCATTTAATATTTAACGACGTAACGATGAAACTACTCGCATCAATGATTATCGTAAATTGTTTACGTTATTCTTATTCTTCAAGTCGTAAATTCTTCCATAGGAATAATAATGCACTTAGGCTTCGGAGACTAGTAGTCGTAACACTCCCGTATGTGAACTTGGATTCGACGAGCGACAGAACTCCCATAATACCCACTAAAGCTTCAGCATCGTCGGATAAGTGGAAAAGAAAACAAATCTGAATTTCCCGTCTACGAATGACTTCACGGTACGAACAGCCTCACTCGTAATAAAACTTCATTATTATCCTTTTCGCATTAATTCTTTCTTTCTTTCTCCTTTCGTTTCGACAATACGATTTTTTCGAATTCTCCTTTCCGTCAATTTCGATGAGCCGAGGATGCGATGGCCCTCGTACACTATTTTCTACCTTAAGAGGTCTTCCTCCGACTTCCTCCCAGCCCCTCTACGCTCGAACTTTCATCGCTCGTACGATGCAAGTGCGCGATACATATTTCGAGACGATCGCTATGCCGTTGGATTATATCAATGCAATAATTTATCCTAACCGGCTACTTCCACGCTAACTTCAATTGCCCAAAGGACTAATGAGCACGGACTAGAGTATCGTCCCCGGAACTCCATTTCCCATCCCAGGCTAACCAATATACATAATGTTAGCTGTGGTGACTTGGTGAACGTCCCTTTGTCCGTACTAACTTCTCCCCAGTAAATGCACTTTTGCTCTTACTCGAGTAAGTCGTTGACTATAACGTCGACGACCACTGCCACTCCGGATATTATAACGAGCTTAAGAAAGTACTATGGAATACGAATTATGAAGCCCGAGTTGGTATTCGTTGCTCTATTCGTCCCTAAATTTTCTCATTTTGTCCATCACCTTTTTAGTTTATGGTTATCGAGAGAGGAAAATTCTTACCGGACGTCCCAATTTTTCGCGTCCTCGAGACGTGGCATGATCTACGCATCCTCCCGACTGCTACTTCCTGAGCGAGCATTGGTTATATTATCTATCTCGAGCCAAACGTCTTTCGTCTTTCGCCCAGGAACTAACTCGACGTGCCATTTGATAGAACCGCACCCCAGCGATCCGTCGACGTATCTGATGGTCTCCCCACCCTCTTCAACATTTCCGTCGTTCGGGTCACAGAATATTCTCTGCGTTGATTCTTGGTATGGAACGTTGGGCTATTATCGCTTATTTTTCTTTGCAAGTCCAAGCTATCTTTGTCGTAGTCGTAGTGCTCTAAAACTTTGTTTTTTCTATTATTATTATTTTTTAATATAATAGGCCCGCGTAAGTAAATAAATCGGTAAAATCATACCGTGACATTCGTCCTTTTTTACTCACTGACCGCGAAAGAACGTTATAATTGCGATTACGATAATAACAATCACAACAACGGAATAATAATAATAATAATAATAATAATAATAATAATAATAATAATAATAATAATGATAATGATAATGATAATGATAATGATAATGATAATGATAATGCTAATGATAATGATAATGATAATGATAATGATAATGATAATGATAATGATAATGATAATGATAATGATAATGATAATGATAATGATAATGATAATGATAATGATAATGATAATGATAATGATAATGATAATGATAATGATAATGATAATGATAATGATAATGATAATGATAATGATAATGATAATGATAATGATAATGATAATAATAATAAAATAATGACAATAATGACAATAATGACAATAACAACTTTAATAATAATAGCGATAACAATAACAATAATAATAACAATAATGGGATCTGATATCAATAATGTTAATAGTATTCGTAATTATAGAAAGTCGAGTTTCTCGGCAAAGTGCAAAAATCCATGGTGGGAAAATCTTTTTGCTGTCCCTCGCAATACCATTTATAACGTAAAATAAAAGAGAGAAGTCTCGCACAACGCATTTCACATACGATACAACATCCGTCGACTGGTAATACTAATTTTTCCTTTAATGTATTTTTCAGGATTGAATGCAGAGTTATATTACGTACGAGAAGGAATCATCAATACTTACGCGATGAATTTTACCGTACCAGTTGCGGCTAACATCGACGATTTGGAATTCACCTGGCAAAGTCTTGCTGGAAAACCGGTAATTTATTAAATACGTCAATGTTTATAACAAATGCATATTTATTTTAGGACCACTGCTAAGTAACATTTCCGTAATATCAGTGGTCGTTTTAACCAACATCTTAGAAGTCTGATTATCAACACTATTGTTATTATGATGAAGGGGATGAATTATTAAAAGATTTTCCTCCAACTAAAGAGTTTTTACCTATTAGGCGCTATCAGACGATCAACCACGGCATCACAAAATAATAAAGTACTTTACATTGCAGTAGTAAAAAATCTACGACATAGCATTTTTTTTTTTTTTTATTTGACTTACATAAAGCGCAATTAATGTATATCGCAATCGGTGCATTCAGCAAACGATAAACAGAACTTTAAAAGGGAAATTGCATTCGCATTGGAATGTACGTTATTAACAACTTGTCGGCATCAATCGCAAGCCAATTTCACACACATTTTCACACTGACGAAAATTCGAATTTTTGGGCAATTCGCTCCGTGGGATGTCACACCGAGTATCACCACTGAAAAAAAAAAACGAAAAAAATAACAAAAAAAAAAACCCGAAAAACGTTTCGTCATTTTTAAGCAAATAGCCACTAGCCACGCGGAATCCCCCTGACATAATCAAACGAAATAAGCAACGAATAAATAATGCGAAGCCTCGTCGTATCTAGATAAAAAATAAAAACAAAATGAAAGAACAAATCGAAAGCAATGCCCGGCTGAGCCCAATCGCAATCCGGTTAATGCGGCCGCGAGGCGGTGGCGCGAAAAATCACGTACGCCGGCGACCGGTAAAAGTTGGGCACCCATAGAACGGGAACAACCCTCCCTTCGAGACTCCATTAACGTAGCTTGAAGCAACAATGCAGAAGAGAGCAAACAGAGACGCGCTCGTGTCTCCTCTCCGCTTGCTTTGTCGAGGACGGCACGCTCCCCCCCCCCCCCCCCCCCCCCCCCCGGCCCC